ACCAACACTATCTACCTTGCTCAGCACTAATCAAGTGCCAATTTTAAAAATTAAATGTAACTAGTTCTAACAATTTATTACCTCTCTTTCATACCAGTCTGCTGCCTTAAACACTGGGAAGGCAGAATCAACTGGCGTGAGTTCATCAGTGTAGGTTTTCACTCGGATCCTTGAATTATACCTCAAAGATAGCAAATTGTACACTAGCTGTAAAACAAAAAAACAAAGTTTAACGCTGCAATAGAAGAACTTTTCAAGAATTTAGGAAATTAACCCCCCCCCCCCCCCACCCTCCCCAGTCAGGCTTTGCACCTTAGAGATGTCTGGCTTAAAAAGAGAACAGTTACAGTAGTTACAGACATCTAATTTCCATTTATCAGTTATAAAATGCCACAGTCTATAACAATGCGTCTTCTATAACCGGGACCACCTAGACGAAGTTGACCAATCAGATTACAGGAAAATAACAATACATTCAGAGAACGTTGTCAACCATAATTACCATGAAACAAGATAAACAACATGGATAGGAATCAACCAATTACAACGTACAGAGGTGACCTTTTGAACCCCTTGAAGGAAGCCTGTGTTTCCTGAGAGGTCTATTAGAGTGAATGACTGAGGCAACATTTTGATAAACGGTAGTTATATTTTTATCTTGAAGTCCCATGTTATTGCAAAGCATGGCAATTGTAGCAAAGAAATTGCTGGTACATGAAGAAATAACAGCTTGGGTGTTCTATGTTAGCTTTCAAATAGAAAAACATCGTCTGGTGAAACACTTTGCTTTCTTGAAAAACATTTTTCTAACAATATTTAAATGTTGTGCTTTAAGTAAGTTACTAGTTTTTTACAAGCTACTGATAGTTGTCAATCATTAATAACACAAAATGAAATCAACAACATGGATCAAAATCAACCAATTACAACCTACAGACATGACCTTTTGAACCTTCCGAAGAAAACCTGTGTTTCCTGAGAGGTCCGTTTGAGTGTTGACAGAGGCGAAAAATGTAAACGTTAGTCATATTTTTGACTTGAGATCACTTGTTGTTGTAAAATGGGGCAATGGCAGTAAAGAAATTGCTGGTAGATGACAAAATAACAGCTTGTGTCAAACAAATATACATGTATATTTTGTTTCTCTTGGGCATTATATGTAAAGTTTGGAATAGAAAAACATTTTCTGGTAAAACATTTTGGTTTTCTTGAAAAACGCTTGCTATCAATAGTTACGGTAGCTTTTGTACTTAAAGTAACCTCTTGTTTTCTTACAGGCTGCTGATGGGTCCACAACCAACTTTCTCAGACTGTGTTGTTATTTTCCTGTAATCCGATTCATCAACTTTGTCTAGGTGGCCCCACTTGCAGTAGTCACACTGTAAATTGTAAGTACATCCTTCCCAATTACTTTTGTCTGGGACGGTAGTTTTCTCTGCAATTGAGAAACACTAAATCTATTATCTAGCTATGTACCTCAAATCTACATGGTTTTTCGGGCTTATCAACAGCAGTCAGGTCTGCAAGAGACTTGTACTGTGCATTAGTATGGTCTCTCAGGAATGTAAGCACTGGAATAACCCCTTCAGGAGCAATCAGCAATTCCAGTTCTTTGGTTTGTGTCATTTGGACCTGCTGGATGTACTTTGGCAGCATGTTAGCTACATACTGTCCAAACTCAGACAGCTGAGTTACAGCTGCATCCTCTGAAAGAAAGAAAGCAAGAAAATCAGAGATTTCTGTAGCTGTAAATGTTTTCATGGGTGTTCATGTTATTGGTGAACTATGACTGTTTTACGAACATGTGGAGAGTAAGTTTGTATTATTCAGTGAACTGTGGGGACCAGTTTAATCAGGGAGATGGGTTTGACAAAGCCATGTTCGGAGACCAAAGATTTAATATAAACGTATACGGTAAATATAAATTCTGGCAACTTTTTTGTTCCACGTTTTAATACAACTGCCTGTGGCCTGAGATACGTGGGTCTGGTGATCTGTCCTGCAAATCAATTTATGCCTTGGAGGTAGGAGGCAGACCTCCAAGATTATAGAGGGTTGTAATAATTATTGCTAGCTATGTTCTAGCTAACTGACCTCTTGAGACAGTATGGGCCTTTTAATTTAATCATATATATAGTGTCTCAAAACTTGTAAGCAATAATTAATCTTAAATTCTGTAAATACATTGATTTGTTATGTTAGTCATTCCAAGTAGTTAGGTTGGAAGAATTTTAGATGATGTCACCTTTTAGCAGGCCTTCAACAGGTCAACTTGAAGATTTCTTGACATTTAAATAAAGTTCATTATAATCATTATTCATTTATACTGGCCAACTCACATGCATTATGCGTGTGTCACTCCTGCGGATTTAAAACTTCAATCACATGCACACAGGACAATTGTACACGCATAACAAACAGTTCCAAGAAAGAAAAGTTTGAACAGATTATCTCATCAAGATATGCACAATTCCAGGTATAAAGGCTTGATCTCAGTAAGACTTTATGATACCTCACTTCGGTAATCTCACCAAGATAATAGACCTTTTCACCGATACGGCGGCCATACTGAATTAACTCGATTTAAGGAGTATTATAGGATGCCCAGGGGGCATGAGCACTTTTCGTTTGTATTTTCGAGCACTTTTCGGGACATTTTTTCTTAAAGTTTTCTTAGAATAACATTGTAGTGGGAAAAAAGATCCTTGTGCCATGTTTGGATGTAATAATGATCGCCTTTTTCCCGAGAAATATACAGTGAAAGACCATATTTCTTATACTAAACTAGAAAAAGGCGATCATTATTACACCCAAACACAGCACAAGGATCTTTTTTCCCATTACAATCTTATTCCAAGAAGATTTTAAGAAAAAATGTCCCGAAAAGCGCTCGAAAATACAAATGAAATGTGCGCATGCCCCCTGGGCATTCTATAATACTCCTTAAATCAAATTAATTCAATATGGCTGCCGTATCAGTAAAAAGGTCTATTACATATAATGATCTCGGCAAGATGGTGCATAGCCTGTGCGCAAGCTCTATGGGGCACGCTGGTTGTGGGGTAACAGTGGGCACCCTCGGTACCCTTGGGAGAGCTTGCTTGCAGGATAGATGGTGCCAAGATTTCGTACTTTGCACTGATACATTTTGGCAACCTCTGCACTATGAAAAGTTCTTATTAAATTTCAAATATGCTAATTATTAATGCCCAGTTTCCTTTCAGTCCAAAAAGTCCCGGCCAAATTCTTTGAATTCAACGGGCACACTGATGCGCGGAACGCCTGGAAGAAAATCCACTAGTCTGACACATGCGCAGTGGGCACCATGTGCTTCAGCGGGGTCGATTTTGGAAACCAAATGTTATTCTTCGTGGCTGTTTTATTCGGGCATTTTGCTTCGTCTTTAGGAAAATCAAAGTCAGAGTCCTTCGAGGAGTTGAGTTGAGGTACAAAGAAGTCAAGTTTTCATTTTTTTCCGTTTTTTTCCGGTTAAAATGTTTGCTTCGAGGGCATTTTCCAGTCAATAACGAAGTTCAAGAGAGCCTTTATTGTTGTGTGCACACGCGTGAACAAACTCAAAATCGTCTTTGAAAAGTGGGTATTCAAGGACTGCTTGGACACATGGCCGCCCCGCAGGGTGAAGAAGGCTTTCATAAAGAGAGAATCAAGTTATTTTGTCGAAGATGTGGAAATCCTTTTGATCAAAATTCAAATGACAGACACAATCCTCAACCTGCTGCTAAATTTGCAAAGGAAATTCTTGAGATTGACAACCTGGATATTGCTTCGGACAATTCATTCATTCATCCACCATTTTTGTGCCGTCGCTGTGTTGC